GGCAAACCAAATCACAGTCAGAGAGTCGCTTGATGAATGTAGACTTAGAATATAAGGCCCTGGATAAATCAAATGGGTATTTTTGACTATGGCCTTTTTTTTGGATGGTGCTTGAAAGACCAATGCGTGAGTTTTCCTCTGTGACTTTTTTTCTTAGCCTATGTAGCTGATCAATCCCCTTTCTGCCCAACATATTTTCTTTAAAATGTTAACATAAAGATATAGCTAGTTGCAGGTCTATGCATAAATTTTCATAATCAGAGGAAACATGAGGAAAAGTAAAGATACTATATGATTTTATAGAGCTAAATCCATTCAATGTAAGAGACTTAATTCTAAGATTGTGTTCTTCCTGTGCTTTTGAGTCTTAAAATCTCTCTCATTTGACAGTAGCATTTTAAAAATGATTTTGCTTGGGAAAACAAAATTTGGGGATGTTTGTTATTACTTTTAATTTTGCTGGTCTTTGAAATACTGAAGTCTTTCAAAGTCTTTATTACTTTTAATTTTGCTGGTCTCTGAAATACTGAAGTAGGAACGATTGATCTTGACTACCTGTGTTGGGGGCCATTATACCTTTTTAATGAGACTTAAAATTTATCTCTTCTTTGATCTATCTTATATTAATGTTAAATTTTAATCAAAAGATAGCAATCTTATTTTATGAATTTCTAAATTCTTAGGAGCAGTACAATAAATAGCACATTTCCTTTGCCATCATGATGCAAATTTCTCTACCCGAAGTTCTTTACTATATCTTTTGGTAGAACAAATAAGATGTTTTCTTAAATTACTTTTGTAGTCAATCACTGTGACCGATTCCTCTTCTCTAAAACAGTTAGGTAAGGCATCTCCTATAGGTGCCTATTTTGGTTTCCTCTTGTTACATTTCTTTGTATATTCCCTCTTTCTGCCCCCCATTAGGCCTCAGATCTCTAAAGATCCTTTTCTTCCTGCTCTAGGGTCATTATGTGTTATCAGAAAGTCAACCAGAATTGGAGGAAAGGCAAGCTTCTGCCCTGTCTGGGGGAGTCCAGATTCAGCCAACTGCGCACAGTGACTTGGACCCCCAGACCACCAGCCAACAACAGCCCACACAGTACATCATTACAACCACCACCAATGGGAATGGGAGCAGCGAAGTGCATATCACTAAACCTTAACTTCCATCCTCAAGCTAGAATCAAGTAATCATACCATGTCTTTTCTCATTCATAAATTTTGGAAATCTTCTGACACTCAGAACTTTTTTAAGATTTATCATTCACTCAAGAGTTTGGAGGTCACAGTTTTGACACTCGTACATACACTGGGGCTTATTTTATCAAGGTCATCTACCAAATTGACTTTTTGAACCCTAAGAGTTTCTGCCATGGAATGGAGATCTTTCAGGAGAAAATAGATTTCAAGATGGAGGAACTTTGCCTTGTTCTTGAGTTGGTTTTTTAACACGTTGATAAGCCTTACTTTTCCTTTGTGGAAATATTAAGTGGTGTATTGTGTTTGTACCAAAGGTGGAGAAAGGATATGCCAAGTCCATGGTCATTGGACTTCATTCTAAGCTGTGGCACCAAAGGAAAAGGGGCATTTTATGGGCGTGTGTTAGGTCAGAATCGCTTCATCTTGTGAGTTTGCAGTAATTTACGGATTATGAAAATAACAGTGATGAAATAAAAATAACAATGATGTCAACAAATGTTGACTGACATTCTGAAGGAAAAATTGTCATCTAAATTTTTCTTATTGCTGATTATAAAAAAGAAAAACCTTGCCTTTTTTGGGGAACACCATTATTGGGCTATTGGTTGTGCTTTCCATAGAGGCTGGCCCTCAGAAGATCAGGCCAGATGCCATATTCTGATAAGTCTTACTTTATTACTCCACAACGGTGGACTCCCTGTAAGAAGAAAAGGTTGCTTGATGTCTGCAGAATTTGAACTTCCACCTTAAAGCTTTGCCTCCCATTCTCTGGTGTGGTTGTAATAAGAAAGATATATTGGAGATATTGGTACCAAGTAAAATTACGAAGATAGTTATATCTATGTATAAAGTAAAAAGCACTGAAACCTTGTCCTGCTTTGCAGGATGCATTTACCATTTTATTGGTAAAGGACGAATTTCTTGCCCTTACCAGGTGTACATTCAACCCTTGCTCACAGTATTCAGTGTATTTTAGGACTTCTAATGCTGTCTTTAAATGAACATTCTTTTTAGGTTGAATGGAAAGGTGGCCCTCCTTATTTCTTACCGCTTTTATCTTAAACATATTGCAACTCATCTGGACCATTTGGTATGATCAACTTCACAGTTAGGGGAAAAAATAAGAACGTAGGGACCATTTATAATATGTTAAAGTAATTATAAGAGATCTGGAAGAAATTCAATCTTTATGAATATTATACTGTTAGTAGGGAGAAGAAACAAAATCCTCCAAAATGACAGTTTTGCTTATACGTGTTCCCCTTTGTTAACTATGAATTAAATGGAGAAAAACATTTCCCTTTTTACTGTACATTCCAATTGTACACATAAATCATTGCAGAGATTCAGTATGTATTTTAACAACTTTTATGACATACTAACACATTTGAATAATAATTGCATGGTAGAATTTATCACTGCAGAACAGAAAGACCTAACTTCAATTTCAAATGAAGTTAACTAATTTATTTTATTTACATGTCTGGGTAGAGAGTGGTTCTATAAATTAAGAAGTATAGTAGCTTCTTTATGGTAAAGATACCTTTCTGAAAAGTAAACAATTCTATTGAAATAACTTTATTAATACGTAGATTTTGCACTTTATTTTTGAGATCACATTCATTTTAGTTTTCCTTGCAAATTTGGGCACTAAGAGAACTTGAGAAAGTTACTTGGTAAATGTGTAGAAACTGAAAATGGACTCTATATCTTTGGTAACAAAGAGGTAATGTCAGTGTTTTTAATAGAAAATATTGACTTGAATCATAAGATAGAGACTCGGGTCTCAAAGTACCACAATATAATGATTGTAAATGTGCTAGGGTCCAGTGTAGAAAGACTTGCTAGGTGAAGAATACTACTTTCTCAAAGGTCCACTTCAGTTTCTGTACCTTAAATTTGACCTTATTGGGTCCTTTTTAATTTGAATCAGCAAGGTATCTCCCCTCCCCTCAGTAATAACTTATTGATTAAAATAGAAAACTGTCGCTGAATGGAATGTTCATTTTATGCCAGTTATTTCAAGTTATAAAATACACAGAAGAAAATGTTGTGGAAGGACTTCTTTGTTTCATCCCATCTAAGTTTGTTGTTTTTTTCTTTTCTTTTGTCCTGATGTGGATTAAGTAAAGACTCTATAACTAATTTGTATATTATCAATCAGAGATGCAGGTGGCAGTCAAGCCAAACAATACTGCTTTAAGATCAGGTATTCTGCACATTCATCCAAAGTCATAGGTTTTCAAAAGGACTTGGATTTGAAGAGATGGCAGATTACGCTTATAAAAGCCTTCTGAAGACCCAATTTGGAAAAAAAAAAAAAATGTATGTAGCCAATGTTTATGTTATTTCCTCTGTTAAGACACATTGGCACTGTAGACTTCAATCAGTGCAGTGTGAAAATTTTGGAGTTACATATAGATTTTACATTTTTATTGTTTGATTTGTGCCCACATAATAGACATTTCATCATGTAAAATTCCTGTTACTCTGGAAAAACCTATTGTTTTTATCTTCTTGAATTGTTTTCTGATTTTGAATTATCCTTTCAAAAAACTCTTATGATATCTAGGGCTAAAAAGCACTTCATGAGATGCTAAAGCTGACCCACGGGTTGAAATGTTGACCCTATCCTTTTATTTAAATGTGAACATTTATTGTACATTCAGTGAGTTATAGTGTTAATAGTCTTGTGCTACTCAGCAAGTGTAAAAATTAATAAATATATTTTGTAATAAACATCTTCCTCGTTTGTATGTGTGAAGCTACAAGAGCTACTGAGATTGTTAATTTTTTCTTTTCTTTCTTTCTTTCTTTTTTTTTTACTCTTACAACTTACAGTGTTTTGATTCTTTGATTCACTCTGGCCTGGTCAGAGACTCCAGGTAAGGGAATTTATGGATGATAACTGTGGAAAGATGTTCCCTTGCCTTTCCACTTGGTGGTTTCTAATTCAAGAACTTCTGAGTGCACTAAGAGAAACTAAGGGCAGGCTATGCAGCCAGCAGGGGAGCAGAGATGGGGCTTTATTTGGAAACCACTATTTTCCAGCAAGGGAGGAACAGTTTCTGAGCCCTCCACCTTCTCTGACGCAGCCCCATCCAATCGAGAGAACTGAGGATGATCTCTGCAGGACTGGTGGAAGTAGCAGTGGAGTCTGAAGCCGTTCTAAGTAAGAGCCAGTGAATAAGAAGAAAGACACCTAGATTCTTAATAAGAGGAACGTATCCTGTTTAATTTCAAAATGTATTTCTTCGACCTGTGTACTTTTTTCGGACATCTAGGGCCCAGGGACGGCAGGTAGAAATGGGGACACGCCGGGACATATGCTGGGCTCCGCGTTCTCAATTAAACTCAAGAAACCTCTGTTTCATCTACTGTAAATGGGAACTAATAGTGCATAGTACAAAAAAATACAGCCGTAGTACAAAGTGGATAGAAAGTGCTTAGCATATTGCCTGGGGCAGGTTATGCTCTCGGCAAACGTTAGCTAATAAAATTACATTCAGTCACTCGGGTTCTAGCCTCAATTCGTGGCCAGGTAAAAACTACCCACACTGTCTCTGCCCTCCCGAACCTCCTAAACCAGGTGAGACCATCAAGCCGACTGCAAACTGTAAGACCGGGCCGAGCTCGTGCCACTCCAGGCCCCGCCCCTCCCCGCCCCCGGCATGCCGGCCCCGCCCCGTGCCGCCCCGCCCTGGATACCTTCCTTGTCGGGTCCTGCGCCGCGCCGCTCCAGGCCCCGCCTCGCGAAGCTCCGGCCCCGGCACTCAGGCCCCGCCCACCTCAACCCCGCCCCTTCCGCTGCCCGAACCTGGAGCGTGCACGCATCGAGACGCCTTGCGGGAGCGAGCGCGTTCTGGAGCCCGCGGGCCGGGAAGCGCAGCGGGCTCGGGGATCCGTGTCTGCGGCTGAGGTCAGGGCGGGCCCTGGGCGGCGAAAGGGTTAAATTGTTGCCGGGGAGCAGAGGGAGGGAGCAGCTGGGTCTCGGAGGGTCGCTGTTCTTGTGGGCATGGGGCAGGGAAGCGGGCATGTTGGGAGCTGGGCGGCCCGGGTAGGTGGGGGTTAGGGTTAGGCACGGTGTGGGGGAAGGGTCGTGGGCGCATAGGTGCAGTTTGGCTGGGCGGGACCCGGACCTGGGGTGGGGTTGACTACGGAAGGGTTTGTTGCAGGGCGGATAGGTTTGGAGCTGGCAGTTGCTCCGGAAGGAGCCTAGGGTTTAGCTTCTTTTGGGGGGAGGGTCCTGGAGGGAAAGTTAACCCTGATGCAGAGGAAAGGCCATTGGGAGAGGCCTTCGTGGTCTAGTAGAGAGGTCCATACGCCGCAAGACTTAGTTTCCGGGGTTCCAACCTTTTGGCAGCTGCCTGCTTTTTGTATTTGGAGATCCTGTTCAGAATACCAGCAGGGCGAAGGTTGCCACTCGAATAGATTAAATTTAGCTACACATCTACCAAATCGAAGAAACTTGTGAGCAAGTTGTGAAACAAAAGTGGTCCTCCTAAGAGTCTGGTAGAACACTGGCTTTGCAGCTGTTACCCTGTTCTATGTCAGTTCTGTTAAGAGGACTTTAAGCATCAGGTTGCTTCTACTGTTTTTTTTTTTTTTTCTATTTTAAAATTTTGTTAAACGCATGTGCCATGTGCCTTCTCACCTGCTTCAGTTATTTAGGCATAAGCAATGTAATGTTAAGGATATTGTAATTTACTGTGTGCTGAAAGGTGATGGCAGCACAGTTGCCCGGAGACCACGCAGCTTTGTCCAATACTAATCTTTCTGCTAGATCTTACATAGATCTGAAATCTCTTCATGATAACTCGAAATAATTTAGTGGAAAGGTGCTTATTTTAGTAGTAATTTTACAGGTCTGCTCTTTGTTTCAGAATGAGAACTCATTACATTTCTACATTATGTGACTACATTAAGTCCTAAACAGTCATCTATCTAGAGATTATTTATTGCAGGAATCCAGGATTGGAAATAACAGTAGGGAGGACCTGGTCCAGCTCCCCTTCATTTTACAGATAAGGAAATTGACACCTGGTCAGGTAAGATTTGCCCAGAGCCACTGAGATTTGGCTAGAAGTTTGGTGTTTTGACTGTTAAGTCTATTTTTTTTTCTTTATTTTACTATGTTTGTTAGCTCATTTGGTAGGAATAGGAGGTGGAATGGACTTAGCAAATATTTGTAGAGTGATTTCAGTTCAAGCTCCTTGCTGTTCTTTTAGTTTTGTTCAATCCTGTGACCTCAGCTTTACACCTGATTCTAGCCATTAGCCTTATGAGATGTTCTCTGAAAAGATATATATATTTTTAGGTGAGGCAACCCTTGGTTGACCTCACAGATTGCAAAGACCTTGTCAGCTTACAATCTCTTATTTTTTATGCCTACAGCACCTGTCTTCCTAGGTGGTCTCCCATTCCAAGTACTAACCAGGCCCAACCCTGCTTAGCTTCCAAGATCAGATGGGATCAGGCTTGTTCAGGATGGCATGGCTGTAGACTCTATGAAAATGTTTTAATATGTACTTTTCTAAAGGTGGCCAGCTGTGTTCAGTTACAACAGGAAGGAGAAAAATAACATTACATTTATATAGTTATAAATATCAGATGGACCATATATAAATATAACTATATTTATAGTTATAGATATCAGGTGGTTTGGCCACTACTTTAGTGGCTGTCCTGGTCAGGTGCTTGGAGCCTCTGGAGTTTATTTGGACTAATAAAGTTGTATTAAGATGTCCTTTCCATGATTTAAATTGAGAGTTTACACAGAAGGTATTGTGTATAGTATTAAGAACATGGGTTTGCAGTCAGGCAGACCTGAGTTTTGGTCCTAACTCTGGGGCTGGGCAAGTTACTTATCTACTTTGATCCTCCTTTTAATATCTGTAGAATAGATATAATAATCCTGTGTTGCACAGTTTTAAGAATTAAATGAGATATGAAAGAATGCTTAAAAGGCCCTCATTAAATAACTTATTGTTAGTGTCTGAGCTTTACTAATAGATGTGGATATTCAGTGAATTTTCTTTTGTGAAAGAACAGAATTAATTGCTAAAAAACCCAGCTCTTAAAGAAATTACATTATAATAGATTATTGGCCTGGGAAGTCTAAATTATGGACTCTGCTGATCTGTTTATTTTTTAATCTCTGAGTCTCAAATGTAAAATGAAGTTGTAAGAAATTCTATAAATTTGAGAGTTATTATATACGCATTCTGAGTAATGAGAGACCTAGATAACATCTGAAAGTTGAGATGAGAATGCAGTGGTAGAAAGGAGAGAGAGGAGCTGTTTAGCTGTAGATAGGGTGTAAGGATAAGATCTAAGAGTAGATTTGAGATTGAATATTTTCTGGGCCAGAATATTTTCTGAAGGAGCATGTCAACCAGATCCCTGGGATTTCTGCCTTTCTATCTCAAGGTATAACTGCATATATTTGTCTAGATTACCTGTGGAACATAATGGATTCCTTGGACCATATGCTGACGGATCCCCTGGAACTGGGTCCATGTGGAGATGGCCATGGTGCACGTATTATGGAGGACTGTCTCCTGGGCGGCACCAGGGTTAGTCTGCCTGAAGACCTTCTAGAGGATGTAAGTTATAACATTGTCACTGTCTTTTCTTCTTTATCAGCTCCCCTATAGCTGTTATTCTAAACCTTTTTCATGCTCTACAAGTTTTTAGTCTTTTGTCCTCCCTTCTGTTTCATTTTGTACATTGCAGCCAGAGCGATTTCTGTCTTTTTTTTTTTTAAGTGTAGTCTACTGAATATGGCGATTGAGAAAGAAATTATAAGCTATGTTCTGCATGTTTAATAACACGTCAGCATAACTTGATAATGTGATGTAAGCCCTATTTTTAACAAGATAATTTTCAGCAATTAAAAAGAAGTTTTATATTTTAAGAGTAGAATTATGTGTTTACATTAAAATGATTACCCTTGTTGTGAATCATGAAACAAAACCCAAATGTATTTGTTTCCATGAGGTAACCCGCTAGTACTTCTTAAAGTACATTGTTAATTGCTTGTGTAATTATTCTCCCCTCCAGACTCTCTATGTATATATACACACAGTACTAGTCTGTCTTAGTATTTAGCACATAGAAGATATCCAGTATATAATTGTTGAGTTGGGAATGAACTCCATCCTGCTGTTCCTCACTCTTAGCAGGTGACCTCAATTCCTCAAGTTCTCTACTCCCATGTTAACTTTTCCTGCCACCATTTTAAGCTGAACTCAGATGTCTACCATCATATCCCTTGTTGGCAGAAAGTTTTCAAATGGGATTCTTTCTACTGAGATTATTTTCCTCTGGATCATTATTTACTGTTGGATGTAAGACTGTGGTTTATATGTAGTCTTTACTAATCTGAGTTTTGAGAATTGAGTAAATATCAGTGGAATTTTAGGTTGTTTAAAAAACTTTAAAACTTAGATGGTGGTAATGGTTGCGCAACAGTGTGAATGTACTTAATGCCATTGAACTGTACACTTAAAAATGGATAAAATGGTAAATTTTATGTCATGGATATTTTACCACTCAGAAAAAACTTAAAAAACCTATTTTTCTCATTTACTTTTCTCCTGCTTTTCCTAATTCTTCTAGCCTGAGATCTTCTTTGATGTGGTCAGCCTTTCAACGTGGCAGGAGGTACTGAGTGACTCTCAGCGCGAACACCTCCAGCAGTTTCTGCCTCACTTTCCTGAAGACAGTACTGAGCAGCAAAATCAGCTCATCCTGGCCCTGTTCAGTGGGGAGAACTTCCGCTTTGGAAACCCTCTGCACATTGCCCAGAAGCTTTTCCGAGGTGCGTAGCTCAACATTCTTTTTTTGATAACATTTTTTTTTTTATGGTGACATTGGTTAACGAAATCCAGGACGTTTCAGCTGTACACTTTAACAATAAGGCATATATATGTCTATGCTTTGTGTTCTCCTCTCATAGTTAGATTTCTTTCTGTCACCACGTATTCGACCCCCTTTACCCTGTCTGCCTCCCTACTTCCCCCATCCCCTACCCTCTGGTTCAACATTCTTTTTTTGAGAAGGGCGGAAGGTGAGAACACATTCACTTATGTGAATACTCCTTTCTTCATTTTATTCTGTTTATTTTTGCTTACAGATACTGAAGCAATAGAATGGTTTTGTGCAATACTTTGATGCCTTGGCCAGTGTATTTTTTAATAACATTTTTAACTTACATAGGAAATATATAAATCATGAGTGTATCACTCATTGATTTATTAAAATAAGAACTTAGCTGTGTAATCACCACCCACATAAAATGTTACTAGCATCCTAGAGGCACTTTTTATAACTAGTCTTTAAAAATTTTTAAAAACCCCTTATCATTTGCTTTATTACATGCACACGTGTGTATATGTGTGTCTGTGACACACTTGTGTGCAGAAAAATGACACTTCACCGCCAAGCACTTCAGCATGTATCTCTTAACAAGGATATTCTCCCACATAGTCACAGTCTATATCACACCCAAGAAATTTTGCATTGAGAAAATCATATAGAATATCCCATGTATAAATTTTCTCAGTTTTCAAATGTTCTCTATAGTTGCCTTTTAAATCTTGGACCAATTCAAGGTTTATACATTATGTTTGGATCTCATGTCTCTTAGCTTCCTGTATCTAAGGCCCTCTGCCTTTTGTTCCTCTTGTCTTTCAAAACAGACATTTTTGAAGAGCCTAAGTAGGATACTTGAATTGTAAAACATCCTGTTTTCTGGGGAATTGTCTTGTTTTCTCATGATTGGATTGCGGTTAACCATTTTTTTGCCAGGAATACTAAATGGGAGACGTTATTTTCTTTTCCGTCATCACCTCAGGAGGCAGATGATGTCAGTTTTTCCGTTGTTGGTAATGCCACGTTTGATCCCTTGGTTAAGTAGGTGTCTGCCAGACCTACTGATTGTAAGGGTACCTTTTTTTCTTTATAATTAAGAAGCAAGCTATGGAGTGATACTTGGGGACCATGTAATAATCTTATTTCCCAGAAGCCTTTGTTTTGCTCTTTGGTTTTAGCACCCATTGATAATCCTTGCTTGAATCAGTTATTACATTGGGAATTTAAAAATGGTTTGGAGCTACTCTTAAGTCAGAGTGTTCTCTGTCTATAGAGAGGAGCAGGGAAGCCTCTTCCCCTCCCCTGTTCTGAAGCAGTCCTTTGTTTTGGCAGGAGGCCCTGAAAGAGCATTGTATCTCCTTGAGTTTTATTAAACTTGACAACTTGACAGCTGTAGAAATGTGGAGCCTGGAGCCAAAAAGCTTATCATTTCAAACCTCTCATTATCTTAAGGGTTTAAGATCTTAAATCTTGGTTGGTTATTAGTTTAAAGGGGACTTCCCCTCTCTGGTCAACAGAGGTTTATTTCACTGAAGCCAGGGGCCTCAGGTGGGAATAAACTGTTTCTTCTCATGGAGCCTCTTCATTTTAGAGGGATTATGTCAGGGACCTTATGTAATGTTACCACAGTCTGTTTGGCTGTTATGTCTTTCCACAAAACAATATGATAGTATGGTAAGGGTACAAGCAAGGAGTGTCAAGGCCGGAATTTCTGCATATTTCACTCAGTCCAGTATCACATTTCAGTTCCAGTGTTGCTGAAGACAACTGTATTACTATGGTTATTATGATTTTCAGTCTTAATTAAACTATCATTGCTTTTTGGTATTCTTTTACCTTTGATTATATTTTCTGATTCTGTTTTAAATATTCACTTTTTCCTTGAGTTCCAAATGCTTATCAAACTCTCTTACCTCCTATTTCATAAAGGAAAAGATCATTCCTCTTAAACTCCAAATTCCCACTTCCAGCTTCCACCCCAACTTACTGCTTTAATTTCCATTCTGACCTACTTTACTTATCTCAGAGGAAGAAGGATTTTTTTCCTTCTGTTTAAGATTAACCTCTGCTCTTGAACCTTTTTTCTTTAACCTACCTCCTCTGGGGCCTTGTTTCCTCAGTTAACCTTTTTCTCTGTCCTGTGTATTCTCTCTACTTGGATATTCATTGCACTTGCTCTTTTTTTTGCCTGTAGATGTGTTCGGGGGTCTCATACTAAAAGGAGTTCTTAACCACCTGTTCCCTTTATTGTCCACTATCATTTTCCTTTATCTAAACTTCTGGAAACGTGTCTGTAGCTATCTCTTTCAGTTATTCTGCTCCTGTCCCCTTGTGGGCCAATAGAAATAGCACATAAACCACATTGTTTAATTAAAAATTTTCCGGTAGTTGCTTTAAGAATAGTAAAAGCAGTTTCAATTATTTTAATTATTTTAATAATAATTCAAATATTTTTTAACTTGGCATGCTCCAAATATTTTAACAGAGGTGTAGGTGTTGAGGAAACTAAAGACTGAAGGAATATAACTTTAAAGAAGTGCACCGGCAAAGAAGTAGAATATTAGTCCAATTTCTTTTCTTTTTTATAGTCCAATTTCTATATGTTTAACAGCATCAGTCACATTAAACTTTTGGCTCACTTCTTGAAGGTCAAATTTCCTGTTTTCCTACAACAGGCGCAGAAGGCGCAGCATAACATGGTTAACAGCTTGGACTCTGGAGCTAGACTACCTGGGTTCAAATCTGATTTCCCCTTTTATTAGCTGTGTGACCTTGGCAAGTTATTTAACTTCTCTATGCCTCAATTACTTCACCTGTAAAATGAAGATTTAGCAGTACCTTCTTTATGGAGTTGTTATGAAGATTAAATGAGTTACTGTATGCAAGGCCCTTACATAGTGGCAGTTATGCGTCAGGTACTATTTTAAGTGTTTGCTTTTATTAGTTACCTTGGCTTCTATTCAGGTAGTTGGAAAGAAAAGAAACACCTTGTACTTTGACCCCCTTATTTTAGCTTTCTGAGATTAGCTTCTCAATCTCTTCCTCTCAGTTCTCATCATAGCCTACCTGTTCAAATCTAATAGGTCCCAATGGATCTCTTAGACCTCTTTATCTGAAGCAGTGGTACCAGTTGCTCACGTCCAGTGATCTCCAGGTACCATGCTCAGTTGACCTCTGCATTGTTCCCCTTCCTGTCCCAGCATCCAAAGTATCAACAAGTCTTATCTTTCTCCCTCAAAAATATATCTCAAGTCTGTTTACTTCCATTCATTTAACCATTGTTTACTAATCAGCTAATATGTGCCAGATAGTCTTTGAGGTTCTGGAGATACAGTAATGATCTTACATTCTAATAAGGAAAAACATGATAAGTAAGCAAATACTTGTTGGTATTTAGAAATACCCAAGAATAAGAAAGGGTAAAGGGTAAACTGGGAAGGAGCTGTTTTAGGTACGATATTTGGGTACCTTCTCCAATGAGATGATATTTGAATGGAAACTTAACGAAGGTGGGAAGAGCAAGCCATGGAAATACTGGGTGTTGGTAGGAAGCATTGCAGGCAGGGAGAGCTTTAAATACAAAGGCCTTGAGAAAGTAGCATATGTGGCCTGTTCAGGAAACAGCGTGGAAGCCAGTGGGGATGGGGCAGAGTGAACAAAAGGGAGACTGGTGGAAGATGAGGCCAGAGGTGGCATGAGACAGGTCATGAAGGGCCTTGTAGGCTATCTTTAGGGCCTCAGCTTTTATTGAATGTGGAGGGAAATTGTCAGATCATTTCGTGCCACTCCTCAGCTACAACCTGCTCTGCTTTAGGCATCCAGCATTTCTTTAAGGTTTAGAACACGCTAAGTTCTTCCTTGTTTCAGGGTCTGCTTTAGCACATACTGTTCTTCCGCCTTTCCTCCATTTTCACTTCTTATTTTAAAATTCCCATTTACTGTATTTTCTTCCCAGTTTTTCATTTCAAAAAATTTTAAGCACATAGAGAAGTTGAAAAATAATACAACAAACATTCATATAATTTTCACCTATGTTTATCAGTTGTTAACATTTTGCTACAATTGCTCTAATCAGGCCTCATTTTATGTATTAGTCTTTAGAGATCCCTTTCCTGATTTAACTGTCATTACTCTTTAGTTTCTTCAAGTTAATTTCCTAATAGTACTTAAGAGAGTTGAATATTATTTATCTATTGACCTCTTTATTTTCTGTCCTCCGACTGGCCTGTAGGCTCCACATAGACATAGGTTATCTTCCCCATCATCCATACTGTCTTCCAGTTTAGAGGAGTTTACCACATTTTAAGCACACATTAAATATATGTTGAGTGATGTATATATAGTTGTATCTCCATTCTTTTAAGATGGACACTTTAACCCTGAGGTGGTCAAGTACCGGCAGCTCTGCTTCAAGTCACAGTACAAGCGATACCTCAACTCTCAGCAGCAGTATTTCCATCGGCTGCTGAAGCAGATTCTGGCTTCTCGGAGTGTGAGTAATGCTGGGAACTGGGTATAAAACATGAACTCACAGATTTCACAACTCCAAGAAGTGATTGAAGTACAAAATACAAAAGATAACCACTAGGAAAAAAATACTAGCAGTTGAGCCATCATACATTTAAGCTATACCATCTTTATGATCAGTTTTAAGATGTACCCTGATTTCAGAGATGTTAAAACATGAAAAAAGATACCTCTTAAATCGATGAAATATTGTAGCTTCAGTAGTTACCAAGATAAGTAAGTTGATTTCATGGCTTATTAAGAGAACCAGGTTGCTCTGGGATTGCTGTGTGAGAGCACACGGGCCTCCGAACGCGCTGACGGGTGTGCAGCACACCAAGCTCAGTGGCCCCGGGGCTGGACTAGCTTGGAGGTTCTTCGAGCCAAAGTGTTTCTGCCCCTCAGTGGTTTAAGCTTCAGTATGGAAATATTTGGGTGTCTAGTATAAGTGTTCATTCTCGATGGAGCAGTTCAGCACTCAGAATTTTCCCCGTGTAATCAATTCAGGCCCTTTTTTTTTGGACACATTCATATAGGTGCATCTTCCTTTGTGATCTGAAGGGAGGAAATTGAGCTTGTTAAACAATGCAGAGAAGAAAATGTAGACTTAGAGATTGTACCAGCAAACGCTCTGATGGGTAGCGTGTACCCCCATCTGACTTCTTCCTAGGACCTACTGGAGACAGCCCGGCGGAGCGGCCCTGCCCTTCCCTTTCGGCAGAAGCGCCTTTCACCATCCCGCACTCCTGAGGAGCGGGAGTGGCGGGCCCAGCAGCGCTACTTGAAGGTCTTGAGGGAAGTGAAGGAGGAGTGTGGTGACACAGCCCTGTCATCTGATGAAGAGGGTGAGTGTCCTTGGGCACTTGGGGTAGCTGAGGTGTTGGAATTATACCAGCAGCTTGTTATTTGGTTGGAGCCAGTGATAGCCGTTTATCTCCCCAGCAAAGAAGTCATCCCAGTTGTCAGTGGTGGGGGTGGGGATAGTGGGACCCAGAGCTCCTTATCTTGGAGCACTAAGACATTACTGTTAGGTGGGGTGTGACTATATACCTTTTTTACCCTTGATGCTTAAATGGCACTTGAGTGTAGTTGAGACGAATCCCTGCATGGCAGGGCTCTCCACAGTAGGCCTGTCTAGTCCTATTGTGCCACTTGAGAGAACTGCTTTTCCCCTTACAGGAGAGTAGTAGTGACTGTTGGCCTGCTGCAATGCGACCCCATCATTCTGTTGAAGTCTCTCTTCCTGGAAGAGCCGTTTAAATGACCTAAGTGTGCTCCAGTTCGTCTGGGGAAGGGTCAGAAAGAAATGGTGGAACCCTGGCTTCCATGTTTTTGGCTTACCCTTGTTGAACCCAAATGGCCACTTACCCAATCTCCCCCCTATTGGAGTCCACAGCCACGTTGGATTTACAAGAAAAATTTTCTTTTGAAGATCTCAGCTCATGGCTTCCGAGCTCTCCAGCACGTTCTCCTAGCCCTGCGGTGCCCCTGAGGGTGGTGCCTACGCTTTCAACCACGGATATGAAAACTGCAGGTGAGAACCAAGCTGATGCCGTCGACATCCTGGGAAATCCGAGTTTAGACCTGACAATTCCTTTAGAGGGAAGTGGGTACTAAATTTTTACCTGCCAGGAAAGCAAAAAGATGTTCTTTAAAATTAGGAGATTTGGAGAAGTTGTTGTGCAGTTTTACTTTTTTTTACAAGTGGGTAGACTTTTTTGCCCTCTTTGCTTTGAAATTTTTTTCTTAGGAGCTAATCAGCTGATATTTTGGGTTAAAGCAGAATCTTACAATAGCAACAGTAAGGGATGATTCAGTAATAGAACAAGGGGTAACCAGAGCCATAGCAGTTTCTTAGAATGTCTGTGAAATTAGAGAAGAATTTTTAGTTGGGATAGGAATCAAAGAACATTGAGAACCTTTAATGTGTTTTAGGAGCAGCTAAGTCTTTCCTGTTGACCAGTGTGTAGAAAAACTTCCGAAGAGTTGATCCCGTGACTGTTTCAAGATTGCTGATACTTGTAGTACCCAGAAGTCAGAAGGGAAACTCAGAGAAACACTAATTTTTGATTATGACAAATGACTAGAAAAATTTAAATTTCAGCATTGTGTTAGTGAATGACCTAGTTCATGTGGTTTGGTTCATTTTCTCTCAGATAAAATAGAGCTGGGGGACAGTGACCTGAAGATAATGTTAAAGAAGCACCATGAGAAGCGGAAACATCAACCGGTAAGATTGGGGGCAGGGTGTATATGGTCATTAGTGGTTTTCAGTCTCATATATCTGGTTTGGCTGTGGTAAGGAAGATACAGGTAGTCACTACTTAATTTCTGTTCCCTTTCCTTCTCATTATTAGAGGACAGGAGCAACCAGAGAGGTTAGTAAACACCAAAGATGTGATAAGAAGACCCATGCTTTGACTTTATAAGGCATGCTTAACAGTGTCTGACTTAATCTTTACAAGACTGGTAGATGAATCATCATATCCATTTACCACTGCTCAGAGAGGTTAAGGAGCTTGTCCTCAGCCTCGCAGCTAGTAAGTGGCAGAGCCAAGAGTCAGATCCTGTACTTTCCCACTTTTTACTGTTTCTGTTACTCCACCGAACTGAGGTACTGCCAATGCAGCCAAGCCAGAGCGCATAGTAGAGGAAGGAAAGGTGGTCCATCTAAGGCTGAGCGGTGAGATGGGAAGTCCCACGGTGGAAATCAGAACTGACTTCTCTCTGTCTTTTCCACTTACTGTGATATTGGGCAAATCCCTTAAATTCTCCGAATCTCATTTTCAGACTGGGAAATAGAATGATACTTACTTAAGATTGTTTGAAGAGCACACAAAATAAGGAATGCAAAAGAGCTTTATAGACTATCAATGCCATGCAGTAGTTTGGATTGGGTTCTCTATGCCCCAGTATGAGGAGCAGTAGTTTTAATCTCTGCATGTTTTTAATTCAACATGATTTTCTCAAGTGCAGGTAACAGCTAATTATCTGTTAGGTAAATTGGCAAAGCCTCCAGTTTTAGCTCTGTATTTGGGCTTCAATAGTAAATATTTGAATATCGCATCTAGGATCACCCGGACCTTTTGACAGGAGACCTGACTCTCAATGACATCATGACTCGAGTAAATGCTGGCAGGAAAGGTTCTCTAGCAGGTAAATGACATCATCTGTAGGTAGCCATCATCTGACTATGGTGTTAAATTATATGAGCCTGTCTACATGTTGCAAAAATAAATGAAATCATAGAATGTTTATGAAATTAGAGAAGAGTTTTTGATTGGGATAAGAATCAACGTTAAGAACCTTTAATGTATTTTAGGAGCAGCTAAGTAATTGAGGTGATTTTTATTGACCATTGTATAAAAAAACTGGAGTTGATCCTGTGTCTGTTTCAGTAACCTATTGTTACTGCCTCTAATGGATTTATAGGTGGAAAATGAATATAAAATCACAACGACAGGTCTTTGACTTCTTAATGTATTAATTTGTAAATCACTCATTGGGTTTGTTAAAAAAACTAAATGTCTTATTATTGAGACTTTTCTTTCTTTTATTGGTGGGCTTTGGGAAAATAATATGTTGATAAGACTCCTTACTCCCGGATGTAGAAAAAATGCAGTTCTGTGACTTATGTTGCTTTTTCTTCACAGCCCTATACGACTTGGCTGTCCTTAAAAAAAAGATTAAGGAAAAAGAGGAAAAGAAGAAGAAGAAAATAAAAATGATCAAGTCAGAGACAGAGGAGTTGGCTGAGCCCCTGAGCAGTACTGAAGGCATTGCACCTCTCTCACAGGCTCCATCTCCGCTGGCCGTGCAGGCTATCAAGGAGGAGTAAGTGAGCAACAGGGATTACTGCTCAAGAGCGAAAGGTTTAGCGGAGGGCTGTACCCAATACTGGTGCCTGGTGTGATCTGGTTTGTGCTGAACCTGTAAGTCCTGAGTCCCGGGGGTCCTGCTAGAGAAAGTGTATAGTATTTTTTTTATTATTATGGGTGCCAGGAGGCTTGGAGGGCTTAAACCAATCTGTGGATGTGTTCTTGGTCTTTTTTGTTGTTCTTATATTTTTTTCTCTCATTAGGCCTCTTGAAGACCTCAAACCTTGCCTTGGAATCAATGAAATATCATCCAGCTTCTTCTCTCTTCTGTTAGAGATCTTGCTACTGGAGGGGCAGTCTAGCCTTCCTGTGGTAAGAGTTTTGGAAAAGTCGGATGTACATCAAAGTTTTCAAGTTGTAGAAATCTTTAATGGTCTATGGCTTAAGAAGCAGAACTCTGGGTTCTTCCCAGAACCCTGCAGCTAACTTGCTTTGTGGCTTGGGCAAACTGGACAGGTACACCCCAGCTTGCTCGGACACATTCGTGGGATTGCTGGTGCAGTATGGAAAACTAACTGGGTTCTGCCTTTACTTTTCCACAGCTAGAGGAGCGAGTTTTGGATTGGCAGTCATCTCCTGCCAGCTCCCTCAATAGCTGGTTCTCTGCGGCCCCCAACTGGGCAGAGTTGGTGTTACCAGCCCTGCAATATCTTGCTGGAGAAAGTCGTGGTAAGGTACTTTTTTATGTAAGGTCAATATGTTTTCTCTCCCTATGTGTAATTATTTCTCATAGCGAACTACAGCTTTGCTGGTTAAAACCACTGTGGCTTTGCATAATGCCATGCCTCGGAGGTCTCTGCTATCTTGATTCACTATGAAACATTCAGAAGTTGTTTCCGAGCTCAGGGATTTCGGTTTTTCTGAGTTTAGCACTCTGACCTGTGTGGCTTGTTTATGTAACCCATTTCTTGCAGCTGTACCTTCCAGTTTCTCTCCATTTGTTGAATTCAAAGAGAAAACCCAGCAGTGGAAATTGCTTGGTAAGTACTTCATACTACCTACCCATAACACTAGGTTTTTATTCTCTCATTTTCTCCTGTAAACTTTTTTTGCCTTCTATTCAGTGGTATAGTTCAGTAGAAATTTGAAAAGGACAGTGTTAAATCTTATTTTGCTCAGAAAAAGACTCCTTCAAGACCCCTTTGGTACTCACGGTCTGCATTTCATCCTTCTCCTCCGCCTCCATTGGATTTTGGCTGAGGCTGAGGTAGAATATTCCTTCTATTACTATGCGACTGGTACTGGCTAAATTTAAATCTGCAGAGGTATTTCACAATAGAATCAGTGTTTATATTTACCATACCTATGGTTTTTGATTAATTTGTAGTCATGTTATTTTTCTTTTCTAAAAATGGGCTTTGTTATTGAGGATAATGTGCAACAAGATGTTGAATAGCTCTGAATAAGCTATTTCTAAGAAACAAGATCCTTATTTTTGTTTTAAGTTTATAAAGTTCCACTTTCTGTGTAAGTTGTAGTAATGTGCACCTGAAATAACTTGGTGACTGTTACCTGGTGATGGTGATAAGAGGAAAATCAAGTTGTTGACTTCCTGTGGAGATTCACAAACCTTTTTTTTTTTTTTTAACTCAAGTGATCTGTGAAGAGAAGGTTATGCAAGCAGTAGATTCATCCATTCTTACAACATTTATGTAGCTTCTAGGTATCAGGCATTGTGTTAGGTGCTGCGGGATATAATGGTTTGGAAGTTATAGACAGTGTGTTCCCCTAGTGGGTTTTAAGGTTTGGTTTGGGCAACAAATAGTCATTCAAATGAAATAACAGACTTATACATTCTGTAAGGGAAAAGTACCAGGAAGGATGGAAGTTATAATGAGTCATTGGTGTAGTCTGCAGTCAGTCAGGGAGGGCCTTCCTGAGGAAGGAGTATGTGAGCAGAAATATTGGTGATTAGAAAGGAGCTAGGCAGACAGAGGGGAAGGGCATTCCAGGTTGAGAAAGCAGTATCGGTCAGTGGTGGCAGGGAAGATAATCTGGGCCCAGGTTGAGAGAATGGATAAATCTAAGAAAGTTGTAGGTGGTAAAAGCCACAGGATTTGATTACTAATTGGATATGGGAATGAAGGAAGATTGCTGTCAAGCCTTGCTTTGCTAGATTTATATCAAGAGGACGAAGATGCCATTTATTGAGGTAGGCAGCTGTGAAGGATGGTTCATACTTGAATGAGGGTGAAGATCATGAGTTTAATATTGGATGTGCTGAGTTTGAGCTGCCTTTGAGGCACGTAAGTGGAGATATTCAATAGGCAGTAGGATATATGGGTTTAGAATACAGACCAGAGAGTCAAGGTAGAGAGTTGTTGGCAAATGTATAGCATTTAAAACCGAAGGCTTAGGGAAAACGTGTTAGGTGAGGAGAGAGGAAGGCCTAGGACTAAGCTTTGGGAAACTCCAAGGTAGAGAAGGCTGAGCATACGGAGAGCAAGTAATAACTGCGGAGTTAGGAGGAAACCGTGAGATGGCTGAATCTCAGAAGCCAAGGAATGAGAGAGTGGAGAATTGGGAAGTGGTCATTAGCCTTGATTGTTACTAAAAGTTCAGTAACATGAGACTTGTGGACTTGGATTTGTGGACATGGAAGAAACGATGAATTTTTTTGTAAGAGTGATTTCTTATTAGAATAGCGAGAGTTAAAAGACAGTGGTGAGCTGAAGGTGACTCCTGATGGCTGACTGTGCAGCTCTTTCCGACTATCAGCCTGGTGGCTTAAAATCAGCCATGGTGGGACCCTTACAGCAGGGTTGGCAAATGTTAAGGACCAGATGCTTGTGAGCCAGATGCTTTCTGTTGCATCTTCTCAGCCCTGCCATCATAGTGCAGAGCAGCCGTAGACAGTATGTAAATGAACGGATGTGGCTGTGTGCCCATAAAACTTTGTTTACAAAATAGATGTCCAGTTTACTGACCCTTAATGTGCACCACAGACATCTGCAAATGCTTCCAGGCAGGGCCCCCTCTCCTGCAGCCAGTTATAGATTTACCCTGTACACCACTGGTTAAAGAGACAGTGAACAAATAAAATAAATAAAATAAAATAAAAAATAAAAAAAAATATAGAGAGACAGTGAATCTTGTTAACCTAAAAATAAAAGTCTTTTCAAAGTAAGAGGCAATAAGCATTTATTTGAGATAAAAAAGCAAAGCTATTTAGGAAGCATTGATTCAGACACAAGCCCAGATGATGTTGCATTTAGGAGACAGGCAGAAGGTATTTATGAGAAAGGCAAGGGGAACAATTACATCAATAGAAGGAAGGTGTTTGTATTGGTGCAGATAACATAGTGAGGCTAATTCTAAATGATTTTAATTTTCAGTCTGGTAGTCATCAGTCCAGTAGCCATAATAACTGCTTTCTTGTTATCTTTGCAAACAAACAATTCTTTGGGACACAGTATTGCCTTAGGCCAAGTCCAAAGTTATTTTGCCCTGTTTTAACATTCCAAAGGTTTGAAGTGTAAGACTCGGAAGGCAGTTCCTCTGGCATGGCAGCTCCAGCTCCATTTTAAAGTGGCTCCATTATTTTTTTTTGACAATATAAACAATTTTTCTAGAGGTTTAGCAGGGGACGGGAGGTTTGTAAGGGGAACTTGTGACCAAGAGAGGTATTTTTTTTTTAATGAGAGAAACTTTGAGTTTTAGATATTGATGGAAAGAGTACAGTGGAAAGAAGGAGGTTGAAAATACAGGAGAGAAGGGAAAATTTACCATATAAATTCCTGAGATGAGGGGAAGAGATTGGTCTTGGATGGCGGGAGGTAGTCCATGTCTTATAGTAGGAGGAAATAATGGAAACTCAGTAGTAAGCTTTTAGGTTTTATTGTGGAAAGTTTCAAGGAGTTTGGTCTGCCGGCTTTTCTGTTAAAGTGGGAGGTGAGAGAGGCGAGTTGGTCTGTTGTGAGTGAGAAGGGAGGTTGCAAAGAGTGGGGAAGAAGTATGGAGCATGGGAAATCAGCTCGGCCAGAGAGAATATTAGATTGCCAGGCAGTGTTGGGGCCAGTGGAGGCTGCTCGTCATTCATTTGTAGTGGCATTCTTTCCCTTTTTGTATGTTTCCTTGGCAGCCCTCAGCTGTCCGACCTAAGGCATGGAGAATGTGGATAGTTCAGAATTTGAGTTTTGCTAGATTGGAATGATGCAGATAGAGCAGAGGTATTAGGTATTACTGTATTGGTAAAGGTGTTATTGAGATGATGGCGATAGACTCTGAATTGAATGGGGGGAGGGGAGTGCGAAGGTAAGAGGCTAATGGGATTAGCAGTTCTCTTGAGTCAAAGTAATGTTTTGGTGGGAGTAGTTAAATAAGGAAGAAGGCTAGGTGATTATGGTCAGGGAGCAGAATGTGTGGACTAGTATAAAGGTTCTCAGCCCTGGCTGTGTACCCAAATTAGTTGGAGAGCTTTTAAAAAATGATACCTATGCCTTACCCACAGAGGTTCTGATTGTTTGGGGGAGTGGGGGCAGGCCTTGGTATTTTAAAAGTTCCCAGGTGATTCTTATTTGGAGCCAGGGTTCAGAAACACTGAATTAGGCGTTTTGAAGATGGACCAGTTTTAGGTAATGATAAAGTCCAGTTGTGGTTGTGGGAACGAGTGGCTGGGGTGGAGTGGAAGAGGTCACCAAGGTCACAGAACTGAGAGGTTAGGCTATTGGATGGACCATCTGTATGAATGGCACTTACCCAGCATGAAAACAGGAAGTGGATTGGTGAGGAGGAATGACTAAGTCAGTACCTGTGAGGAGCAGGGGACAAGGTAGGTACAGGTGGATGGTAAGAGCCTTAGGGACCAGGCTTTTGTTTGATTGTGATTTTCTAGAACAGCTGGAGAGAAATAGCCTGGCATCAGAGGTTGAAGGAGGAACTTAACTCTGAAGGACATGGCTGTGAGAGAATAGCCAGCATACCCAAGGTAGAAGGATTAATGAGAACCAGATTTCACACCAGACAAGGAAATAAAAGTTGTCGAGAAAAGTGGGTATTGAGAGAAGAGGATTAGGCTGTAGGAGAATTTATTGATTATGAAGTAGCATTTCTAGAAGACAGAATGGGAGTAGTGGGAGTCACCCCTGGGTAAGAAAGTTCAGTGCTTTCTGGGGTAGTATTGTGCATTGACTAGTGAAAACAGTAAGAGACCATTATGAGGTTATCTCAGCAGCCTTTGAGAAGGGTGGGCCCTGGAAGATGCCTTCTTCACCCAAGCAGACTTGGGTGACGTTGGGTTTCCGTGGCTCCTAGTCTGGGCAGAAGACATAGGTATCATCATATGATAAGTGCCAAAGGAGGAGTCTGAACAAAGTAATAGGGGAGGAGGGCACAGAGGCAAAGTACTCATCTCTTTCTAAGGCAAGTCAAGGGCAATCAAGCTTTTCCTCTGCCTTGGGGCCACCTTCTTGCTGTTCTGTGCATAGAATGCCTTTTGCCCCAATTAGCCAGAAGAAGACCCCCCAAGATTAAGATAACTTCCCTAGGTTAAGCTTTCTTAACATCCTTTGTGACACCTACCACTTTTTGATTTTATAATATATGCTCTTTCCGCACTTGACTGCTCACTCCGTGAAGCAAGAGACTGAAGTCACCGAGTAACTCTAGTGTGTAGTGTCTGGCACTCAGTGACTACTCAGCAAACACTTACTGAGTGAATGATTTAATTAGAGGACATCCAAGAAGGGTGATCCGGGCAGACAGTGATGGAGGGGCAGTACAGGCTGAAGGGATAGTGTGTGCAAAGGACCATTGCTGCAGGTCCTGATAGGTTCTCTCTCTGGCGTAGATATAGCAAATAAGGAGAAAGTGGGATCCTGACTAATACCTTACATTGTTTTTTTATTATTTTTTGCCCTTTAATTCTTATAGGCCAGTCTCAAGATAATGAAAAGGAATTAGCTGCACTCTTCCAGCTGTGGCTGGAAACCAAAGACCAGGCCTTCTGTAAGGTATGATTTTTGAGAAATATCAGGTCTTTCTTAATTGGATTTTCAGAGCCCTTTATTTAGCCACAATTTTTTTAGTCCATTTACCTGTTAATGTCTTCCTTTTCTCCATCAGGAAAATGAAGACAGCTCAGATGGCATAACCCCTGTTCCTCGGGTGTGAGTATAATACGCTAATGGTGGGTGGTGCTCTATGAAACCATAGTGTAAGGTACTGCTATGGTTTTTCTAACATTTCTTTTTAGAAATGTATTAGAACTGTAATGGACTTTAGAGAACCCTGGAGTCCACTGGTTCTTACCTGCCTCAGCGTACCTGAGGAGGGCAACACCCTGCCATCAGTAAGTGTGGCTCCCTGAGGAAAGGATTCTGAATTGGGAAGGGGATTGCGTAGAGGGGGGTGGGATCTATCTTGTAGGTGAGCATACTTTTTTCTCTGAATTCCTCTCCAATTTCCATTTGAGAATGATTCATATAATCCATCTTCATTGGTCACCTATAAAGAAATTGGGACATGATGTTAAGTGGCCTGCTCAAGGTTAGTGTCAGGACGCAGGCTGGAATCTTGACCTCTAGTCCCGAGCTCTTTGTATCATATCATCTCATGTGACTGTTTTCAGCCTGGTATGGTGCCTTTTCTTTTCCCCATGTTTTGTTGAGATATGATTGGCATATAACATTGTGTTGATCTGTTACATGTATCTGTTGTGAGGTGATTGCCATCTCCATCACCTCATATAATTACCAATCTTTTTTGTGTGTAAGGTGAGAAAATAATCATTAAGATCTCTTAGCAGCTTTCAAGTATATGAAACAGTATTGTTAACTGGAGTCACCATGCTGTGCATTAGACCCCCAGAACTTTTTCATCTTATAACTGGAAGTTTGTGCCCTTGGAGCAACAGCCGCCCATTTCTCCCATCTGCCAGCTCCTGGTAACTACCATTCAACCTCCTGTTTTTATGAGTTCAGTTTTTTTAGATTCCACAAAATTCTTTATGTTCCAGAAGGACTGACTATGTGGTGCGGCCCAGCACAGGGGAAGAAAAACGAGCTTTTCAAGAGCAGGTAAGAAACAGCTGGAACCCAGTGTGAACCTCTGCATCTGTGAGGTCATGCAGAGAGCAGCTCTCCTCGAGTCCAGATTCTTAGAGAAAATTCACATCTTTAACCTTAGATATTCTGTTAGGATTGTTTGTTAGGGACAGAAATGGTGTGAGGAAAGGCAATGAAAAAATGTTTTGATGACCTTTACTACTAGATAGCAAAATATGTTTATATTTATCTCTTCGTCCCTTTGCTGGTGACTGGCATTTTGGAGATCATCTTTTTCCCCCTGTAGTTCGGTCAGTATTCCTAGTAGAATAGCCTGTTTCCTTCTCATTTTAATCTCTCCATACAATAGTATAGGAGCTCTAGGGAGAACTGCACTAATACTAGCCTTGTACCTTTTCTCTTGGTAGGAACGTTACAGATATAGCCAACCCCATAAGGCGTTCACCTTCCGCATGCATGGCTTTGAGTCTGTAGTGGGGCCTGTGAAGGGTGTGTTCGATAAGGAGACCTCGCTCAACAAGGCTCGGGAGCACTCTCTGCTGCGCTCTGACCGGCCTGCCTATGTCACCATCCTGTCTCTTGGTATGATCACTTTTTTTCCTCTTGTCAGCTGTATCCACATCCTCAGGAATTTAGGAAGGGGGGAATTCTGTCCCCTAGAGATTTATCAGAAATCAATGTTTCTTCCCCAAAGTCTGCACTCCAATTATTTTCATTCAGGAATTATACACGGGCCAGCTAGTATAGGAATTTGCTTCCTCCAGACTATGATTCTTTTAAAGATGAGGTTTTTAACCTTTTTTCGTGTCATGAACCTCTTTAGTATTTTGGTGAAACCTGTGGACTCCTTCTCAGAATTATGTTTTTAAATGCAAAAAATAAGATGCATAGAGTTACAAAAGAAATCAGTCCTACTGAAATAGTTTTCAAAATATTAAAACAAATTAATCGTGCAGAAATATGTTTTTATCATATTAAATAGCGAGATTTACTAGTAGATCTTATAACTCCTGTAATTTCCAAATAGTGATGCATGGAAATGATATTTTAAGTTGTATGTGACAGCTGTAATGTGATATGAAAGTATCTGATATCTCTTACAGCACGGCCAAGATATTGTTTGTTACCTTTGTTTATAATAATTCTGAGATGTGATGGAATTACAGTCTTGGCTAAATGTGAAGAGTGTATAGGAAACTGTCCCTAGAGGGCAGTGTCCACCCAGGGCTGAGTCTTAGTTAGGTAGAGAAACAACCTCAGGGAACTTCACCCACCAGAGCAAGGACAGGAAGAGTTTCCCTCAGGAAAAGCCCTGCTTGACTCTTGGACTTCTCATTTTCTGATGTCATCAGTTCGAGATGCCGCCGCTCGGCTGCCTAACGGAGAAGGTACTCGGGCAGAGATCTGTGAATTGCTCAAGGACTCACAATTTCTTGCACCAGATGTGACCAGCACTCAGGTAGGATGAAGAAATTATTTTTGTTTTGTTGCAGAAAGGTTTTCAGAGAATTTACAAGGAAATTTGAAATATAATAAAAAATTTAAAAACCAATTAAGGAGAAAAGAAGGATATCTCGAGAAATGCAAGCAGTGATAACCTAAGACTCTTGCTGTAAGTGAAGCACAAATTAGACTGTCAGCTTTCCTTCAGCTTCTGCTAAAGGTCTTAGTTCACCATCTCCTTCATTCTCTCAGGAGCCTAAGTGTTTCCTGTTTTGCCAGGTGATATATAGTGCATTATTGGTGCCACCAGGCTGAGATAAGATGTTTATCAGCTGTGACTTAACACTCAGTGATTTTTCTCCAGTTTCTGAATCTAACTTGTCCTTTATCCCCTTTGTTCTGATTCTTAGGTTAATACAGTAGTAAGTGGTGCACTGGATCGGCTGCATTATGAAAAAGACCCATGTGTGAAATATGACATTGGACGGAAGCTATGGATCTACCTGCATCGTGACCGGAGCGAGGAAGAGTTTGGTGTGTGAGACCTGGGCAGTGTGTCCAACTAGACTAGGGATGCTTCTGACTTTCTGCCCCAACTCCATTATGCTCTTCACTGACATTCAGGCGGGACAGGATTGTAAAGGCAGGACTTAGCCCACCAGAGAAGCCTTGGCTCTTAACGAAACTACCTTCTTAACTGTGCTGGGAGTAAACTATTGCTGAAGCTTACACTTTTGTTTACAGAGCGAATTCACCAAGCACAAGCAGCTGCAGCTAAAGCCAGGAAAGCCCTTCAGCAAAAACCCAAGCCGCCATCCAAGGTGGTAAGTGACCTCCTGAGAGCATGTAGCTTAGTGGTTTTGGGGATGCTGGCAACTAGGCCTTCCCTGAGCTCAGTGCATCTGGAACCATAAGGGCTGTGCCTTCCCGTAGTGGGCCTTCGTTAAATCTGCCTGTGAATTTCTCTTTCTCTTCTGCTTGTAGAAGTCCAGTAGCAAGGAGAGTTCAATGAAGGTGCTTAGCAGTGGCCCTTCTGACCAGAGCCAGATGAGTCTCAGTGACTCCAGCATGCCACCTACTCCAGTCACACCTGTGACCCCCACAACTCCAGCTTTGCCTGCCACTCCTATCTCCCCTCCGCCTGTATCGGCAGTCAACAAAAGTGGCCCTACTACTATCTCAGAACCAGCTAAATCTAACTCAGGGTAAGCTCTTCCATTTCTTCTGTAGCTTTCTCCCTCCAAAATCCTTTTATATGCATGTCCTAAGTTGATTGTTTTGTTTCTCCCCGATTCTCCTCATAGTGTTCTTCTGGTATCTTCCCCGACAATGCCACAGCTAGGAACAATGCTTTCTCCAGCTTCCAGTCAGCCTCCACCAAATTCTCAGGCTGCTGCCCGTGTTGTGAGCCACTCTGGCTCGGCCGGACTACCCCAGGTACGGGTGGTAGCCCAGCCTAGCCTGCCTGCTGTTACTCAGCAGTCAGCAGGGCCGGCACAGACACTGCCACCGATGCCAGCAGGACCACAGATTCGAGTTCCGACCACTGCTACACAGACCAAAGTCATGCCCCAGGTAAACAGGGACAGTGGACCCAGAGGAGGGCTGTTGATCTAACGGGCAGTCTGGGCAAGGACTGAAGAGCCTTACATTATTGCTCCTGCTGATGTTTATCACAGGAACTCATTTAATGTTCACAGCTAGGTAAGCATTTTTATAAGTTGTATTTTACCTGTTGGGGATCAGAACTTCTGAGAAGTTTAGTCATTTACCAAGGGTTGTAACAAGTCTCTCGGAGAGGTGGGATTAAATCCAGACCCGTGACTCTAAATCTCAGGTTCCTTCCATTGTTCCTCTATTCTTAGCCATGCCATTAACTGGTTGTGTAGTTTTAGAGAAAAGTTTGATCTGCCTCAGTTTCCTTTACTGTAAAAAGGGTATATTTGTCCTTTGTGTAGGAATAAAATGAGATGTTAAGTGAAAGCATTTTGAAAATTAAAATAAGAGGTGCTACATTATAGAGAGTAGTGAGCCTTAAGCGCTCTTAGATTAGAAGTAGTTTTAGAGGCACGCTTCCTGGGTGGTGGCATGCTGGTCTACATCTTAATGTCTAATTAAGCTCTCGGCCTCATGCTATGAACTAGACAGTAATGGCCACCGTTCCAGTCAAAGCTCAGACTGCAGCGGCCACTGTGCAGCGACCAGGACCTGGGCAGACGGGACTCACAGTGACAAGCCTCCCTGCCACAGCCAGCCCTACAAGCAAGCCAGCCACGAGTTCTCCTGGGAGCTCTGCTCCGAGTGCTTCCACAGCCACTGTCATTCAAAATGTTACCGGACAGAACATTATCAAGCAGGTCAGTGGGATCCAGTTCCCTTGTCCTGAAGCAGAGGACAGCAGAGATCTCAGTGATTTGTGATCTTTGCTCCTTAGTTCACAGGCATTTCAAGTCTGAGTTCCCACCAAGGGCAGTGCAAGCTCTATAGATGCTGAAGAGATTTTTTCTGTTCCTTTCCATGTAATTCAGATTTAGTAGCCGAGTTTATGGATTTGGAGGAGACTCTCCATGAAATAATTTAGATAAATTTAAATACGTTATTGGCATTTCATTTTACCATTAGTAAAAGAATACATCTCTGCTTTCTTGGTTGTGAATATGCAAGACTAACAATTGAACTTCAAAGAATTGTTAGGCAGAATAGCAACTAGTACTGATAGGAGTGTTTAATATGTGCCTGCACTGTGCTAAACATTTTATAAATCTGAAATAACTTCATCCTCAAAACACCATGGAGTTGGCACTTTTCTTATCCCCTTTTTACAGATGAAGAAAAGGAACCACATGATGATAAAGAAATGTTTTTTTTTATTTTTATTAAACGAATACATGTTAAGTGCTTTTTGTGTGCCAGGTCACTGTCCAGAGTATTGGAGATTTAGTGGTATATTACACAGACTAAGTCCTTTCTTTGTGGAGTTCATGTAGAACTAGGGGACAAGCAGGTATAGTAGGGGCTCTGAACAATAGTAAGTAGGAGGTGGGGTAGAGAGTGCAGTATGCTGTTTAGGGTGATCAAGAAGGCCTGTCTGCGGAAATGGCATTTGAGAGAGATGAATGAGGTTGGAGAGAATGCCATGTTATGATTAGCTGGAGATAAAGCATTCTAGAAATAGGAAGAGCAAGTGAAAATACCTTGAGTCAGGAATATGTTTGAGGAATAACAGGAAAGCCGTTGTAGCTGAGGCTTAGTAAGCAACTGTGGAAGTGTTAGGACGTGGTTGCTTGAGAGGTCGCCACTGGTTAATCATGTCAGACTTTGATTTTAATTGAAATGTGGTGGGGAACCATTGAAAAATTGTGAGCCAGAATGACTCAGTGTAGTTTACACTTAAAGAAACCCCTGGGTGCATAGAATTGACTTTAGGAGTTAAGAGTGGAAGCAGGGAGACCAGGTCAGAGGCAGTTGCAGCAGTCCAGGTGAGAGGTAATGCTGGTTTCCTGTGAGTGGTCATCACAAGTGGTAAGAAGTGCTGGGATTCTGAATATAGGGTTGAAGGTAGAGCCCTTGTGATTTTCTGGTGGTTTGATTATGGGGTCTGAGAGAAGGGAGTCAAGAATGACTCCTTTGGCTTGAGTGACTGGGTAGATACTGATATTTTCCGAGATAGAAAGCGCTGAGATGTGGAGGCCTTGTAAGGCAGACCCAGAGAAAGGCGTGCTCTTGAAGTTAGCACGTGCATCAAGTGTATGAAAGTGTGAGTGAGATGAGGCCTAAGAATTGACTAATTGAATATAGGTAATGAGTGAACTTGACTGGGTCCAGTGGATTAGTGGCTTTTTGGGAATGAGTTCAAAAGCGAATGTAAGGCAAGGAAATGGAGATGGTGAATATAGGTAGTTTTTAGAGCAATTTTGCTTTTGAAGAAAGTGGTGAACTGGGACTGGAGTCGAGCAGAGTGAAGTGGGGCAGGGGGAGGGAGATGTGGAGTGAAGCAAGGTGTTTGTTGTATTTTAAAATGGGAACTATTACAGCATGTTTGCATTCTGGTGGCACTGGTCCAGTAGAGAGAGGGGAGATTTTTCAAGTGACAGAGAAAGCCCCTGAGGCTAGAAAGGTTACATCTATTACACATGGGAGTTTGGCCATGCTAATGCTCTCAAAATAACGGTCAGCACAGCTACAGACAGACATTTTTGAGACAGTTGGGGAAATGCGAATATATGTTATCAGATAATAATAGGTGATTATTTTTTAATTCAGAAGTCCTCTTCTAGGTTAGGGGCGTGTACAGAGGCATTGATCAGCAAAGTAATATATACCGGTTTACTTTAAAATATTTCTGTTCCTTCTTCCTCAATCCCTAAAATAGGGAAGGATAGTTAAAGCAAGATTGCAAAGTGATAACTTTTGAAGCTGGGTGGTAGGTACATGGATTTGTTATACTGTTCTCTTTGTGAATGTTTATCATTAAAAAAAAAAGTTAGAAAAATATATGAAACACATACACCCATGAAATGGAGGTTTGCCTAATTATGTTATGTAACTAATGTAGCATTGTGAATCCTTTGGTCAGTGCTGTTTCTTCCCCACCCAGGTGGCAATCACTGGGCAGCTTGGTGTGAAGCCCCAGACAGGCAACAGCATTCCACTCACAGCCACTAACTTCCGTATCCAGGGTAAGGATGTATTGCGTCTGCCACCCTCTTCCATCACCACAGATGCCAAAGGCCAGACGGTTCTGCGAATCACACCGGACATGATGGCCACGTTGGCCAAGTCCCAGGTTACCACAGTCAAATTGACCCAGGACCTCTTCGGGACAGGAAGCGGTACAACAGGCAAAGGCATCTCTGCTACTTTACACGTCACTTCCAATCCAGTCCATGCTGCTGATAGCCCTGCCAAGGCCAGTTCAGCCAGTGCCCCTTCATCCACTCCAACAGGTACCACTGTGGTCAAAGTGACTCCTGACCTCAAGCCAGCAGAAGCCTCGAGTTCAGCTTTTCGTTTGATGCCAGCACTTGGTGTAAGTGTGGCAGAACAGAAGGGGAAAAGCACGGTGGCCTCTTCAGAAGCAAAGCCAGCTGCCACAATCCGCATCGTGCAGGGCCTCGGAGTGATGCCTCCCAAAGCAGGCCAGACCATCACAGTTGCAACCCATGCCAAGCAAGGGTCCTCAGTGGCTAGTGGTTCTGGAACTGTTCATACTTCTGCAGTGTCCTTGCCCAGTATGAATGCTGCTGTATCCAAGACTGTGGCCGTGGCTTCTGGGGCTGCAAGCACCCCTATCAGCATTGGCACAGGAGCCCCCACTGTGCGGCAGGTCCCTGTCAGCACCACAGTTGTTTCCACGTCCCAGGCTGTGAGTACCGTTGGTGGTGAAGAGTAGCCCTTCTGCTTGGGGAACTTCTCTTTTTAGTAATGGAAATTAGAAGCCCTGTCTTTATCACCTCATTTGACCCAAACAGGCTTATTTATTAGTAGGTTTTTTATTTAATTTTGAAAGAAATTTGTGAAAGTAGTACATGCATACGTTCTTTTTTTTTTTTTTTTTTCCTCGAGCGAGGCAACCCTTGGCTGACCTCACAGATTACAAGGGCCTTGTCAGCTTACAATCCCTTATTTTTTATTTTTTACGCCTACATCACCTGGTCTTCCTAGGTGATCTCGCATCCAAGTACTAACTAGGCCTGACCCTACTTAGCTTCCGAGATCATACGTTCTTTAAAAATATTAAAACAGTACAGAAGTACATAGAGTAAAATACAGAATTTCTTTCACCACTCTCTATAATTCTCCCTTCACGAGGCCTAATTACTGTTGGTACTTTGGCATTTATTCTTCTAGTCCTTTGCCTGAGTGTTTTCATACATATGCACATAGTTTAACAAAACACTATGTATTGTTGTGGATTGCTTTGTTTACTTAAAAAAATGTCTTGGGGATTGTCTAGATCTTCCACAGATACTGACTACATTTTTTTTCACAATACTGTGGTAGTCCATAGAAGGGATGTGCTTTAACCATTCTTTTAAAGGGCACACTTTCACTGTTAAACCAGCACTACAGTGAATGTTCGTATGTGTATATGTGAATATGTATAAGTTTTTTTTGAGCAAAGGTGCCTAGACTAGACCAGGGAAGTATACATATTAGAAGTTTGGATACTCCAGTTGTGCTGCTAAAAAGGCCATACCATCTTACACTCCCATCAAGTCCTGTTTCCCACCCACCCTAACCAGTGCTGCATATCATGTCTTTAACTTTTTGTAGCTAGCTGACTGGTGACATTCAGAGTTCTTTTTCTCTTTTGTTTCCCTCCTCTGTAGTGAGGTTGACCATCCATTCCTGTGGAGATTGGCATGTGCTCTCCAGTGGTGAATAAATTTTTGCTAGTTTTCTTCTGGGGTGTTTAGCTTTTCTATATTGTTTGAGGTGCCTTTTATGTCTTCTGGACGTTACTTCTTTGTATGTGTAGAAAATATTTTCCTCTGCTCTGTCATTTTTTACCTTGCATATGGAGTGTTTTGCTCTACCGGTATTTCATCTGATTAGATCTATCAACATTTCTTTTATGGTTCCTAGGTTTTGTGTCTTGTGCCTTTTTTACCCCAGGGTTTTAGAAACATTAATGCTTTATTTTCATAGAATACTCTCAGTTTTAAAAAAGTATAACTGATAATCCATTTGAAATATGTTTTTGTAAGTGATGTGGTAGAGATCTCATTTTATGTTTTCAAATTATTCCAACATCATTGACTAGTTATCCCTTCTCCCACTAACTTAAAGTACTACATTTATCATAAACCAAATTCCCATATCAACATAGGTGTGTTCTGGGTACATGTGTGTTTATTCTTTAGCTTTTAGACAAGGAGCACTGTTCTGTGTAGTGGAGTGCATATGAACAGTGTAGAACATAGTTTTACTTTACTAAGCAAAATGTATAGTGAAACCTCAGTAGTTTAGATAAAAGCCAGAGTGACAGGGGAAGGTCGATATATACAACAAATCCTGATATATAGAGTAGCTTAAAAGGAAATATTTAAGTTCTTATATTACAGAAGTTAAAATAAGAAAGGAAACAGTGCTTACTTGAATCCTTAAACATAGGAAGCTAGTACCTAGTGGCATCTACCCTGTTATAATCAATTTGGATAGATATAACTGGAGAGCATTTAGCAGGGCAAGAAGTGTTGAATTTTCCCTGTCTGGTCAGCTAGTTAGGCTAGTGCACAAAGGGACAATTGCAGCAAATATAGTGGTGGCCTGAAATGGTTTTAAGCATCTAAGGCAATAGAACCATAAATAAATCCACCTAGAGGCACCATCTCATGGTATTCTGTTTCCTGTTGACATCTTTAAGTGGTTTCTAATGGGCTACAAATTGTGTCAGCTCTGATGCAGTTTTGTGCCTAAGTGCCTGGCTTTGTTAGAACTAGCTTGTCCGTAGGAAATGCCAGTGCCTTTTCTTAGCATTCTTTTAACCACCTCTCTTGAATCTTTTTTTTTAAATCAGGTTTACACAGGATTTTACTGTCTATAAATTTTATTACGAGCCAAGGCTTAAAAACCAGGCAAGGCAACCTAAAAACAGATAATGCAATGAAATCCCAAAGAGTAGGCCTTTTCAGCTTCTTTTTTGTTCCTCTTAGGCGTTATTAGTTTTGGGGTTGGACTTTTCACTTGGTTGAGTTTATTATTAGTGTCCCCTAACTAACCTCTCTTATCTCTGTGAAACAGCACCTAGAGAATGTGACCTGTTCCTAATCTAGCACGCCTTGCTGTGTGCTCCCCACCAGTGAGCCTTTGTGCCACTGAAGCAGTAGTTATGCACTTACTGTTTTAATTTTTGAGTGCCTCTGTCTTTCCACACATTTACTTCAAACAGTTGTTGAGTGCCAAGTATCAGGGGTTACACAGATGAGTAAGACCCTCGCCTCTAAGTAGCTCAGACTCTTATTGTGCTTAAGAGAACATCCACTTTCCTTTGTGATTCAGGTACACATTTCATCCTGATGAGAGTAGTTATACATGGTTGCTGCTGCTTTAGGCAGCACGAAAGAGGATGATAACAGATCAGGTGACCCCTAAATATAGTATAGAGCCCTTAACAACAGCATATGTGCTGCAGTTTTGTGAGGACTCTGTGGGCCATACCTCAGGAATATTGGGACCCTGCAGAGTACCAGGAATGAAGGCATCTGAGAGCTGGCTCCTCAGCTCTTACAGCCCTGGAGGTGACACTTGGTGTTTTTCTTACTTCCTATCCCATAAACTTGATTGCTTTTTCTCTCTAGGGGAAGCTACCGACACGGATCACAGTTCCACTCTCTGTGATTAGCCAGCCTATGAAGGGCAAAAGTGTGGTCACAGCCCCCATCATCAAAGGCAACCTTGGAGCCAAGTAAGTCCTATGGTGAGGGGTGGGTAAAGCTTCTGGGTGGCTCCTTGTCGCATGTTAGGAGAGCAGCTGGTTTTCTTGGGGCTCTCCTTTGATACCGCTCCTCCTTTGTTGGGCTCACGAATAAGATTTGTTGAGCACCTAGTATTGTTTTAGGTGTTGTGGATACAGCAGTGGTTAAAATAGACAAAAATCTGTGCTGTCTTCAAATTTACGTTATAGTGAAGGGGAGGAAATAATACTACATGGAGTGCTGAGATATACTATGGAGAAAAAGCAAGGAAGGGTATGGGGAGTGCTGGGAAGGGGTTGGTGGTGACATGGCTCAGATGGCAATTTCCAGTGGGTGCTGGGGAATGCCTCACTAGTGCATATGAGCCCTACGGTGTCATAGGTTAGAGGATGAGGGCTTATTTAGGAGCCTGGGCTTTCTGTGGCCCTGATTTAAACAGGGATAGAGGGCATGATGAAATAATTTTGAAGGTCTCAAGGAGGCTGTTTTGGAGGAGGGAGAGTTTCCTGTCAGGAGCACACACCTCCCTGGGGCCCTGTCTATTACCCGCTCTGATCAAGGCATGTATGTGTCAGGGTCATTTTGTCCAAAGCATAGGAGGAGCCTTTGGGCTTGCTCTTTTCTCCTGATATAGGAAGCATAGAAACTGAAAGAAAGGTGGTCTTACCGGCTGGTTTCCATTTCAGTCCAGAATGCTGGACTTTGCTCTGAGCACCAGGCCTTCCTGTTTTCCTTCACACATGGCCTAATTCTGGGCCAGAGATAATAACCCCATCCTATCACTACCTCACTCCTGTTTTCCCTCCACAGCCTCAGTGGGTTGGGCCGCAACATCATCCTTACCACCATGCCAGCGGGTACTAAGCTCATTGCCGGCAATAAGCCTGTCAGTTTCCTCACTGCCCAGCAGTTGCAGCAGCTTCAGCAGCAAGGTCAGACTACACAGGTAAGCTCCAAGATGCACTATTGGCCGTGCTTCTCTCTTTTTTCCTTGTTGTTTGTTCTCAACTGATGTGCCTATTTGCAGTCTGCTGACCAGACATTCTCTTTGCAAACAGGTGCGCATCCAGACTGTCCCTGCGTCCCATCTTCAACAGGGTACAGCTTCTGGTTCCTCCAAAGCAGTCTCCACTGTTGTTGTGACCACAGCACCATCTCCTAAGCAAGCACCGGAACAACAGTGATTCCGAGAGAAAGATGGCTTTCAGAAAAGCCCATACCTGGTCTGCCCTTCTGGCTAAAACGAAGGGAGCAGGGAAGTTGCATCCTTCCGCTAAGCTTGTCTGTCTAAGGAAGGCCAGTAGTGGGATGACGGCAGCAATGGCTGGGATTCTGCCACCACACTCCACAGTGGAGGACACTAAGGAAGGTTCACTCCAGGTCTGTTCTGTACTGATCCAGGAGAAGCTTCCCTCAGAATTGTGTCAGGTCTCAGTTGTATCACACAAGCCAAAGTTATCTCCTGCGAGCAAGATGCTGAGGGAGGGCTTACAGTTACAGAATGCGGACAGTGAATAAGCGTCGTTCTATATGTGGATCATATTTTTTACCTTCTGGTCTTCTCTGGGACTAGTGGTCTGGATAGGAGTTTTGTGTCCAAAAATTTTTATGTAACTTATTTTTTTAAAGTACCTATTTTACATCTTTGTCAAAAAGAAACCTGGGCTCTAGCCCCACTAAACTGATTCCTTATTCTTTTGACCAGAATGAGAGAATAGCAAGATTCTTACAAATTGGTGACTGACTTGATAACTACATAGTAATGGAGAGGCTTTAAGATGAGAAAGAAACATAAGAAGTGAGATTCTATGGGGTCCCTGAAATGGGATTAGTTGGCACTACCTCTTAAAGGTGGGGTATCAGGATCCTGACTGGTCTATATCTTCACCAGCTAACTTTGTTCTCTTTGTCAAGTATGTTCACATGCGAGTTCAGAGCCAGTGGACACAGGAGGTGAATGCCAGCAGAGATGCTGCTTTTGCAGCACACACTTTATTTCAGTTCAAAGGTTATACATTCTGCTTTGTTTCAGAACAAAAGACAGCAAAGCATGGCCCTTGGGCTGGCTACCCATTTTTCTAAATAAAGTTGTGTTAGAACACAGCCCATGCCCATTTGTTTATGTATTATCTGTAGTTGCTTTCATTTTAAAGGCAGAACTGAATAGTTGCTGTAGAGACTACGTGGCCCTCAAGCCTAAAGTACTTTTTATATGGTCTTAAGAAAAACTTTGCTGACTTCTACTCCAGAATAGAGATAGCAAGAAGAGAGTGGATATTCCTCTTAGGCAACCACAGAAGAGGGCAGTCTGGATTTACAAGTCATTCAGTCCTGGCTATTTCACACTTCTCAGCCTTCATCAAACTACAAGCAGAGCTCTGAACAAAGTTTTTAAATGTCATTTAATTAAAGCACTGGTTGTATGCCTCTTTTGTTTTGGAGCAGGGGTTGGATGGTGAAGCTTTTCTGCAGTGACAGGGCTTCCCTGTACCTTGAAATTATCCAGATTATTAAAAACATATCTTTACTCTGGAAGTTTAGTGATATGTTATGGGGCCTGGGTGAGGAAGTTGAATTGGAGGGCAAAGAAATGGAGTGGCCTAGTTTAGAGGGGGTTGCTGGGTGGAAGTTGAGTGTGATTAGGCAAGTAGCAGAGGAGGAGAGATACCTTGTTGGCGACACAGGTTTTGCAGACATCACGTTCGATTCTTAAAGCAGCTCTGTAAAATAGATATTATCATCCCTGTTTTAATTGTGAGAAAATGCGAGTCTCAGTTGATGTGAAAGAGATCCAAGATGTAAAACCAGTTTTCTGATTCTAAGTGCCCTTTCTGCTGCCTTCTTAAGAGGATACAGTGATGTGTCATGGTGAGACTTGGGGAAAATCCAGCATTAAGAGTGGTGGGCCTGGATTACAAAGAACAGAGGTGAATTGGCTAAGGTAGGATTGGGCATTTGAGGGGTAGTAGAAGGCTGGCACAGAAAAAAGATTGGTAATGATGAGAGAGAAGGACTGCAATGAAGGAAACTTATATTTTGATATCCACATGTCATTTCCTGGAGTTCGATTTCACATGAAAAGTCCATGTGACAGTTTCTAAATGAGAAAAGTAGAAATTTGAGGAATGCTGTCTTGGGTATTTACTGCTGGTTAAAACAAACACCCTCTGAATTTATTTAACAAATTTCATTAAAGTAGCTCTGGCATTCAGCCCGAACCCTGCTCCACTTTTGTTTACTGAGGTTACCTGACTGCCTGTCTCCTTATTGGCCTCAGATATTTACCTCTTAAGAGGACAGGTAGATTTCAGGATGCCAGCGTAGGACTGACTCCCTGGGAAAGATAATTGGGTACTGACCAGCCTGTAGTGGAGCACCATAGAGTAGAGACCCCCTATTGGAGTTATTCAAGTGACATCACCAGCATTTGCAGACCTCAAGGGTCTTAGACTTGGCCCTCATGAGTGTGTGGGGGGAACAATTCCAGAAGAACTTGTGGTAGCCATTGAGCCTCTGAACCTCTGGTCGACAGGTTGGTACAATTTTTCGGACTGTGTGCCTGAGACTGGATTTGGTGAATAGCATTGTGATGGGTTCGTACTGTAATACCACATCAGACTGTTTATGCCAGGGTTGATCACTTCCGTGAAGGTATCCCCGACCATGCTGTGAAAGGGACTATGTTTTATATTTAATCTTAACACCTCATCCTCTCACTCTGGAGAAAATACTATATTTTCTTAAAGTATTCTGCCCCGCCCTTTTTAATCAAAATGGAAATTTTCACTTTGGAACTAAAACAGACTAGGTTCCTCCTTCCCGCCAGTCCCCGAGGAAAGAACATGTTTTACATTAATTGTCAGTAATAGGTCCTCTAGTACTTGAATGAATGTTGAGTTTCTTCTACTCAGCAGGCAAACCAAGGTGGATCCTGAAAGGGGACCTACGGGTTCTCTTGAAATTGGTGTTTTCAAGCAGCTCATTCTTAACCTCTAAGCTGTGACTTCAGCTCCGAAATGCTGGCCAACCACAGGAGGTTACCTTTCACTGGGTCCAGCGTTTCTTCCAAAGCACAAACAGTACTCCATGTAAATGATCTCTGCTGTATTTGTGTAAAGTAGCAGAGGGGTAGAGCGAGAAATAAGATGGCTTTTGAGTTCTACTGAAGACTGGTTCTACAACGTAGTAGCTGTGTGGCCTTAGGCTAAACAACTTCTCTGAAGAACCTAATGTACTTACAGGTGGCTGTGAGAAACAAGTGAGAGATATATTTCAAAATCTGAAAAATGCCATACAAGTGAATGATACTGTTTGGTCTATAAGAATTTTCAAATTTGTTCTTACCTAATTTTATTTATAGAACTTAATATTTAGTCTTCATATTCTTTCATGCTTTCATTGCCTTTGCACATACTATTCTCCTCCTGGAATGTGCTTTTTCTGTGGGGCAGACTTCCCATCTGTCTTCTCTCCTTTGTCTCTCATGGTTATACTTACCCCTTATGGCACCGGTTGTTGTGTATGTAACTGCTTGTATATCTCTCCCATTAGACTGCGAATTCTTTGCTGGACAGATTTTGTTAATCCTTAGAACCATTTCAGTGCTGGTGCAAAGCAGATGTTTAATAAATATTTGTTGAAGGAGGTTTAAAAAAGAACACATTCAGAACCAAGACTAGAGTATCAAGATTTACATTGCTAGTTCAAGATTCATATTCTTTGCAGGATTCTTACCCTTTGCTTTCAGCTGTATTTAAAATTCAAGGCCTTCCATAACCTGACATTTTTTCTCTACCTCATCATACAGATTTCCTGTCAGCATCCTCTTATGAGGGTACTTTTGAAGAGTCAGAACATCTGAGTTCCAGCTCTCTGCTGGGCCACTAACTAGCTTCTTGATTAAATAAAAAATCACCCTTGGCCTAACTTCGTCACTTATCAACAGTACTCTGGAATATTATTAGTTAGGAGATGTTTAACAACATTTCAAATACCAAAGCTTGTAAATAAATCATTACTTTTTTACTTTTCTAAAATAAGGCACTGTCATTCACTTTCTGATAAGAAAGTACCTGCTTTCGTGAGGAAAAAGATAACGTTATCAGAAGCAGTAAGTTCTGCCGGATTCATATCCTGGATTCATCCATGAGGCCACTTCCTGTTCTGAAACTATCGGAGTCTGATTTCTTTTCACTCTGAGACACAAATAAAGGCTTGCTTTGGTTTTCTTTATGAAGGATACCATACCAACACAGACTAGTCAATTAAATGAAAAGGTGCAAATACATAGAACTTTAAGAGCAGATTAAAGCCAGCATTAAAATAGAGATGAGCTACACCTTTAAACACTAGCTGTTTGTGCTCAAAGGGATATAGCCACCCCCCCATTGATGACTGATGGCCTTTCATTCTTCATCTGAGCCACCCAAGAGGGCCTCCTGGTACTTGCGATCTGATTTTAGCTTCTGAATCTCAATGATCTCTCCTCCATGCCTCTTTAACCGAGTCAAAAGGCTGTAATGGAGAAACACAAAATTAGCTCCTCCCCACCGCAAACTCCCTTACTTCTCACCCAAGTATGTGAAGCCATCTACTGGTTCTTAAAGCATTTTTCTTTATATGTCTATCAAATATCACGATTGTTTACATATCTGACTTTTCAAATAGTATTCATTGTTAGATAAAGGGACTATGATTAATAATGTTTAATAATCAGTTGAGGCTAAACTTACATTTCCTGCCTCCCACTTTATTACACTGAACAGTCAGTAGCACTGAAAGAAATGTGACCTTGAGTTACCTTCTGTTTGGTATGTGTGGAACTCTGTCTGGGTGAAGTGTATCTGCTTTGGGTAAGGAAATCAGGAACCAGGAAAAAGGGCAGGTACAACAACAAAGTTAATAATACCATATGCTAAAAGTCACTCTAGCATTGTGCTTGAAGACTGGGCCTCTGCCATTTACTCATTGGGTGACCTTGATCAGATTACTCAGTCTTTTGAAGCCTTGGTTTTCTGATCTGGAAAACATTACATACTATATAAAGTGATGAGGATATAATGGGGTAATACACTTTAAGTGCTTCCCACATTGTCTGGGACAAAGTACGTAGGAATTACTAGCTATTACAATAATCTCTGAAGAGCACTTTATTGATCGATTGATTGATTGCAAGGACCTTGTCAGCTTACAATCCCTTATTTTATTTTTTACACCTATAGCACCTGGTCTTCCTCGGTGGTCTCCCACCCAAGTACTAACCAGGCCCAACCCTGCTTAGCTTCTAAGATCAGATGGGATCAGGCTTGTTCAGGGAGGCATGGCCATAGACTGAAGAGCACTTTAGAGAGCACTTGCTGCTATGGCATCTTATCTGATTGTCATAACATCTCTGGGAAGTAGGAAGGGCAAATCCAGGAATAAGGTGATGGGCTTAAAATGAACCAGGGACCGAGCAGGGACTGCAACCCAGTAGATGCCTAATTCAGAAGTTTTACCTATCACATCACAGGCTTAAAATCTGTCAGAACTGCATTTGAAACCTGAGTCTGTCAGGTTACTAACCAATAGGTCCTTTACCTTCTCAAAGCCTCATCACCCTCATTTGCAGGTGTAGAGTACCTTGCACAGAACTTCCTTGTAGTTGGTACTTGCTAAGTGGTAGAAGTTAGCAGTGCTTAGTTCTGAAAGGTGGGTCATCTTTCATGAAAATGATGCAGTGCAGTAAATTTCTGGGGCAGGGGATTGGTTAGGAAGAAAACTAAAGTCATTTTGTACATACCAGCAAACGAGAGAGTAATTGACAGCTGTAATACAGAGGGCGGCCAAGTAGTGCCAGCAGAAGCACATGGTGATAAACATGATGTTTGAGTCATCTTTCTGGTCCCATTTGGGTGCTCCAAAGGGTGGGAACAGCACAAACCCAATCTGGTGAATTATACAGAGGAGTCAACCTTGTCATTAGTTGGTTCTGAGAAAGCAACCTAGCTTCCTTCTCGTGGCTACCAAAGGAGGCCAGCCGGTTCCCATTACCTCATTTCCCATACCTGCATTAGCATAGAAGCACAGGAAAATTGCTCTGAGTTGATTCTGGTTTTAGTATAGGCTCATTTAAAACAATTTCCGGCGAATGGCTTAGCAAATGGAGCCTGTAGATGATATCAGTACCTCTATTAGGGAGGGCAGATAGGGAACTATTTAATCTGTTTACTGTGTGCGCTCCATAGATTCTGCTTGTTAATAGATCAGCAGGATATTAGTGGGTAAAGGTTATGTAGGTCAAGGGGTGAGCATGGTAAGGAAAGTGGCCCTCTAAACCTATCCATGTGGTGTGTTAGTGCTGCATCATCAGGACTTGGATTCAGTGGGGCCCCTTAATCCATACAATGTTTGGGTAATTACCTGCCAGAACCAGGTGCCTTGAAGAATAGTGAGACTGGTTCGGAAAAGTTCCAGCACAATGTTGTCCCGAAGAATCACCTCTAAGAATATACTGAGAGCCCCTCCAAATACAGCACACAGCAGCAGTGAGTGGATGTACTGGTCCAGTGGTGGTCGGTTATGAACATGGTGATAGAAGAGAAAACCTGACAAAGCCGGTCACAGCCATCAGAGATTTGCTTGTTCTTACTTCATAACATTCATTCTGGACTTTTTCCATTATTAGAATTTCCTCCTAGATCTATCTCAAAGCTAGATTTTTCAACATTTGGAAGTCAGTTTTTATAACATTACAGGGCAACTAATATGCAGATTAAATTTATTTCGTGTGCGTGTAAAGTGGGGATAAGCAGCAAAGCATATATCTTTTAAAATTTTTTCACAGAATTGATAGTAGGGTTCAACACAGAATGAGTACTGCTACTTTGTGACAAATTGTGTATGTTTTGCCCTTATTCAACATTTTTTTTTTTTTAAACTCTTCCTGAGGTACAGAAGTGAGGTGGTTGGATTACAAAATGCTATAACCCCAGTTAATATGAGTTATATTGGGAAATCTATCCTAGCTTCTGGGTGGGTCTCCTATTTGTGATGGAGTCCAGACAATAACACTCCAGGGTCGTGGATGGAGTACACAGGGAGTTATAATCTTGCTTGGTGGCATTCAACCAGTTTTTGGACAATTCTTGTGGATGCGCACACAGGCACTCACATGCATAAGGATGGTGGCTGGGAGGCAGGGGAGCAGGGAGAGTTTGTGTACTATAAGTGGCTTTGGCTACAAGCTTCATGCCTTCATGTGCTGCTTTATGAAACATGTCATCTGTATCATCCAGAGCATAGGACCAAGTCTTGCTCAGGTTTTGAAGTTCAGAGATTTGGATTTTTCCAAGATTTGGGGAAGGTTATATTTGCAATAGTTTTGGTCTTTTGTGCCCTGATCCCTCATATACACAACTCATCAGTTTCTTGCTTCCTTTTTTCCATCCTTACCACTAAGTTACCTTCATTGAATGTTGCCACAGCCATAACCAATCTGTCGATCCCCAAGGGAACGTGGGTGTTAAGATAGGTGAGCATATCAATGGCTCCCGAGATTGCAAAGAATAGATACATGGTGCTGTGCTGCCAGTTCATTAACTTTATCCAGTGGTTTTCAGAGTACAGGTGGACGTGGGGCCCATCCGGAACAAACTGCTCTGCCAGAATCCCTGCAGGGAAATGAGAGTAGAAATTGAGGGAAGAGTAGTTCCAAGACAAATAGACAGCAAAAAATAACTGAGTCATGAACAAAGTTGAGATGTGTGTGAAGGTGGCCTGTATGGTTTAGTGGACCTGCTTCAGTACAGAGTAAGGTATTTGCTGAGGAACCTTTGTAGACATCTTGCCTTTGTTGTTTCTTAGACAAGGGGGAGGTGGGGAGAGGAGAAGCAATAGAAATAGAAACACTACCACACAAGTCCATAGGAAATTTGTCTAGTAGCTAAGATGAAAGCAAAGCATTGTCACCTAAGCAAGAGTATGGCAGATACCTTAATCTTTGAGCTTTCTCTGACAAGTGAGTGGTGAAAGAAATCTTAGAAGGAAGTGATTAGGTTGAGAATAGAATCTGAGCAGACAGACGCTAGTGATGCCGATACTTGTGCACACCTGAGGGAGAGAAGCAGCTCCCAGGTGTGTTTCTGTCAGGGCAGACTTCAAGCGAGTGCTTTTCCTAGGCATGGAGGGAGCTCTGTGACTTACGGTCCTTCCCATAGCTTTAGGACTCGGTGTCCTAAACACTTCAACTTGGTGTTTCTGGCCATACAGTATCTTAGGAGAGGCAAGCTTTAGAGACTGGAGCCAGAAGATTGATGAAGCTGTGCCACAGTGTAGCGCTCAGTTTTTATCTCTTCTACTGTCACCTGTTTTAGAAGACCAAAGATTTACCTTTATGCCTGGTGCCCAAAATGTCCTTAGGGCTTAGAATAAATTCTCCATGACAACCTTCTGGACTCTGTTTTTTTTCTCAAGCCCAGTTCCTTTCTGAATTTATGTATAAAAGATCAAGGAGTTGGTGAAAACAACCCAGGGGGAGGATGTCTCAGTGACACTAGATTGGAAGCCCTGTGAGAGCAGGGACTATGTTTGGTTCTCCATTATATCCCCAGTGTCTACAACAGTGAGCTCCTGGCATATGGTAGGAGCTCAAGAGATAATTTGTGAGTGAATATTATTTTCACCCAAGTACAATTTCTTTAGCTTTATTTAGGTAAAGTTGATGCTTACCATTTAAGCCTTATGATCCCTGTCACTTCTCAGCTCCAGAAATATGAGAAATACTTTCTGATGCCTAAATGGCTGGCGAATGGGAAAATTCAGCTGGACCAGGCAAACAGAGCTATGTACATTTACTGACTCCAAGGGAAGCTGCTGTCATTGTTTCACTCCCTCCCAAGAAACTAGGCCAAAGATGGTAAGTGGCAAATGCAATTGCAGAATAAGACCTCTCATTACTCATGTGATGGGTTGATCCTGAAGAACACTCTACTGTTGGCACTACTTGTTCCTTGAGGGCCACAAGTGGAGTGGAATAGATGACGAGTAAGTGAAGTGGGTGCATTCTGTTGGAATGGGGCACAATAAAAGAAGACCCCCCTCAAACAGCCCTCTTGGCTTTTTTCAATCTCTTCCACTGCCTCTCACTAGCCTTCTAGCATAAACTCCCCTCTCTATAATTGCTTGAGATTTGGTGGTGGAGGATAGGCCAATGAGTTGAGTGTTAAGTACTCAAGATTCTAGTGGAGAGACAGTTGAGGGACAAAAGTTGATTTTTCTAAAACTAAACTTACCACTTAGTACTTTCTCAGAACATGAGCTTACTCTTCTAATTTTTTTTTCTTCTATTTTTGGGTTTTATATTTTTCATAAAGTATGTCTACAGTTCCTACATCTCATACCTACATCTTTCTAGGGCTATTATGTAAGATGTAAGGTGCTATTATGTAAGATGTAAGGTGCTATTAACTGTTACAAAGCTTCGTACACAACAGATGTTATGATAAAATATTTAGTTTAGTGGCCAACTGAAAATCCTTGTTCTGTCATCTCTGTCAGTGGAAACATCCATTTCACTGGGTTTAGAAAACAGATTCTGGGTATGATGGCGAGATCCCCTGGACCAGGTGATGCCCAGTCTTACCAATGATTGAAAATAAAGTTCTGATGGCAGCTTCAGTGATCTCAAGACGCTGATAATATTGGCTCCTTTTTCTCTTTTGATGAAAGTACTTAAACGGGTACTTCACTGACCACCACAGTCCAACTATCAAGAAGAAACTCCCTGGGAGAGCATGGCCCTTGAAGTTTGCCATCAGGATTCCAGGACACCTGAAAAACAGGGACAGCTGTTAGGTGGCTGAGTGAAGAGAACAAATGGATATTTTGGTAGGAAACTCAATATGTGGCTGAGGATTCTAAATCATAAGCTATTAAGAAGGATTCACTCATTCTCATAAAATAGGTCATTATGGTCTGTCACTGAATCTTGTCTGCTGAGTGAGTTACATGCCCAAGTGTGTACCACTGGCCTCGGGCTTTAAAACTGTGGGTAAATAAAAGTGGGGAAAAGGAGGATATAGAAATATTAACTGATCTCAGGGTAGAAGAGCCTTCCTAAACATAAAAGAGGGAACTAGGAAAGAAAAATATTCACCGACAAGCAATTTATGGATCGAAAATATCAGAAGGCAAACAGCAAATCATGAAAATGTAACAACTGTAGTAAATGGGTATTTGTGTTGAGAAGCTGAGCTGGAGCACTGAATTAAGAATATGCAGATTATGACCTGGCGAATGAGGAGGCACAAGCCACTCACAGTAGGCAGGGAGCAACCTCAGCATCCAAGCTACCACCTTGTGAAAATGAAAACCAGAGTCATTCTGATTGAACTCACAGTTTTAAAACACACAAAGGCAGTAGCATCACAGGATTCATTACTTACAGATCCCAGAAATTGGGGTTGGGGCTATGGGAGGGGAGCAATGAGTTGGGAAGGGTAGCCCTCCATCCAGGTCACAAGTGAGCAGGAGTTAGAGCAGGGTAGCAAGCACCTATTACTTTTATGATGGCTGGGGCAGTGATCACTTATTGAGGGCTTAACTCTTAAGCGGTTATTTTAAAAGGTACCCTGAGAAAAGCAAAGCTGGAACTTGGGGTGGGAATCCTAAGCTTAGGTCTTTTCTAAATATCCAGACTGATGTGGGCAGGGTTTCCACACTGTAAAATGCCGAGGCAGTGACTCCAAATAGCGGCTTCCTTGTCACAATGTTCCCTTAGCTTTTACAAATTAGTAGGAAAAAGACCACAGAAGAATGGGCAAAGACATGAACACAATTCACAAATTATACAAATTGATAATAAACCTCACCATTATTAAAGATGGAAAGTATCATTTTCACCTAATTGGAAAATAATTTGACAATTAGAGATTTGATGCAGACTTCTAGTATAAATGAATATGGTCAATATGATTCCATTTCGGTAAAAGTCAAAATAGTTATATAAACACCGCCTTATTCCAAATAAAATTGCAGGGATGGTTTCTTTTATCCTGTTCACAGAAGCATAGACTATAAGGTCAAAATTATGAGTGTTGTGTAGAATTTAGTCAGAAGGAAAATAATTATTTTCCCCTGTGGCCTGGGTGGTGACCTAAAGAAATATAGGGTAGGAAAAGAATAGCAGTTGGTGGTGATCTAGAAAATACCACTTAAGTCTAATGCCATGCTACCCTGAACAAGCCGGATCCCATCTGATCTCGGAAGCTAAGCAGGGTTGGGCCTGGTTAGTACTTGGATGGGAGACCACCTAGGAAGACCAGGTGCTGTAGGCATAAAAAATAAAAAAAATAAGGGATTGTAAGATGACAAGGTCCTTGTAATCTGTGAGGTCAACCAAAGGTTGCCTCACCTAAAAAAAAAGAAAAGAAAATGCCACTTAGGAAAATAGAGTATCTGCGGTCTGTACAGCGTACTCCAACCTTGGCCATTGGGGCATCCCATTTCTCTGTCACTGGCTACATTGCCAGGGCTACTATTTCATGTCTGACACATTTGCAGCTGAGGTTTACACCCTTCATCAAGAACATTCACAAGCTTTTAAAAAATGCTTACAGTTTTTAATAAGTAGTATTTAAAGGTTTACAATGAGAAGCAGTGACCCTGTGTTCTCTCCCTCATCATTCCTTCATGGAACCACTGTAAATTCGTTCTGCTGTTTCTTTTGGTATTTACCTGTATAATTCTAGTTAACTTGTGCACGCTGCCATCTGTTAATTTATTATTATCTACCAACTTCCTGGAGCTCTCTTACAACCTTGCCCTTCTCTTCACCCCTTCATTTTCACAGTAGTTATGTTCATTTGTTTAAATCATTTTTATGGCTCTGTAAATCCAAAACCCTTATGAGGGCCGATAAGCTCCGCATGACCCTGTG